ATAGGATTAGGGATGCCACGGGAAACATCACAACACGTACCCAAGATATCCAAACAATTCTAACAGACTACTTTCAAAAGCTATACTCTCTAAAGGAAGAAAATCTGGCGGAAATGGATGCATTTTTAGAGAAATACAAGTTACCCAAACTGAGCAAAGAAGAAGTTAACCAATTAAATAAGCCAATATCCTATAATGAGATACAGGAAGCTATCAAAAGTCTTCCAACAAAAAAAGCCCAGGACCAGATGGATTCACAGCAGAATTCTATAAGACCTTTAAAGAAGAACTAATACCCATACTCCTCAAGCTCTTCAGAGAAACAGAGAAGGAGGGAGCCATCCCAAACTCATTCTACGAAGCCAATATCACACTCATCCCCAAACCAGGCAAAGACCCAACCAAAAAGGAGAATTACAGGCCAATCTCCTTGATGAACACAGATGCAAAGATCCTTAACAAGATTCTAGCTAACAGAATCCAGAAACACATTAAAAAAATAATACACTATGATCAGGTAGGCTTCATCCCAGAGACACAGGGATGGTTTAACATACGTAAGTCAATAAATGTAATCCAGCATATCAACAGAGCCAAGGTCAAGAATCACATGATTATCGCCACAGATGCAGAAAAGGCCTTTGATAAAATTCAACATTCATTCATGCTAAAAGCTCTGGAGAAAATAGGAATAGAAGGAACAGTTCTAAAAACAATAAAAGCCATTTATGACAGACCAATAGCCAATATTATACTTAATGGGGAAAAGCTACAACCAATCCTCCTAAAAACAGGAACAAGGCAAGGATGTCCACTGTCTCCACTCCTCTTCAACATAGTCCTAGAACCCTTAGCCAGGGCAATAAGGCAAGAAAAAGACATTAAAGGGATCCGCATAGGGAAAGAAGAAGTTAAACTATCCCTTTTTGCAGACGACATGATACTATACCTCCACGATCCCAAAAACTCCATCCCCAAACTTTTAGAAATCATAAGTCACTTCGGCAAAATAGCAGGATACAAAATAAACCCACAAAAATCAGTTGCCTTCCTATACACTGATAATGCACAGGAAGAGAGGGAAATAAAGGGAGCAACCCCATTCACAATAACCTCCCAAAAAATAAAATATTTAGGAATTAACCTAACCAAAGATGTAAAAGAACTATTTAATGAGAACTATAAAAAGTTAAAGAAAGAAATTGCAGAAGACACTAGGAAATGGAAAGACCTCCCATGCTCCTGGATAGGCCGACTTAATATAGTAAAGATGGTGATACTTCCAAAACTAATATACAAATTCAATGCAATTCCTATTAAAATCCCAATGACGTACATCACTGAAATACAGAAAACAGTCCAAAAATTTATATGGAACAACAAAAGACCTAGAATAGCCAAAACAATTCTAGGGGATAAAGACAATATGGGAGGGCTATCCATGCCGAACTTCAAACTCTACTACAGAGCTATAATCACAAAGACAGCATGGTACTGGCACAAAAACAGACCCGAAGACCAATGGAACAGAATAGAAGATCCAGATATAAATCCACAGGCCTACAGCCAGCTGATATTCGACAAAGGAGCCAAAGACATACAATGGAAGAAACACAGCCTCTTCAACCGCTGGTGCTGGGAAAACTGGGCAGCCACATGCAGAAAACTAAAAGTGGACCCCAGCCTATCACCATGCACCAACATCAACTCAAAATGGATTAAAGACCTTAACATTAAACCTGAATCTCTGAAACTACTACAGGACAGAGTAGGAGAGACACTTGAACTAATAGGCACAGGAAGGAACTTCCTGAACAGAGTCCCAGGGTCACAACAAGTTGGAGAGAGACTCGACAAATGGGACTACCTTAAAATAAAAAGCTTCTGCACAGCTAAATCTATCGCAACTAAGCTAGAAAGACAACCAACTAATTGGGAAAAAATATTTACCAGCAATATATCAGACAAGGGGTTAACATCCTGTATATACAGGGAACTCAAGAAACTAATCCCTCCCAAACCTAACAAACCAATTACTAAATGGGCAAGGGAACTAAAGAGGGACTTCTCAAACGAAGAAATAAAAATGGCAAAGAAACACATGAGGAAATGTTCATCATCCCTGGTGGTGAAGGAAATGCAAATAAAGACAACCCAGAGATACCACCTTACCCCAGTCAGAATGTCCCACATCCACAAATCAGCCAACGACAAATGCTGGAGGGGATGTGGAGAAAGAGGAACCCTGTTACACTGCTGGTGGGAATGTACACTTATACAACCACTTTGGAAAGCAGTCTGGAGGGTCCTTAGAAAGCTAAAGATTGACCTCCCTTACGACCCAGTCATACCACTTCTAGGCATCTACCCTGAACAACAGGAACCAATATACAAGGACATGTGCACCTCCATGTTTATTGCAGCACTGTTCGCAATAGCCAGGATATGGAAACAACCTAGATGCCCCACCACAGATGAATGGATCCAAAAATTGTGGTATCTATACACAATGGAATATTATGCAGCCATTAGAAATGACAAAATAATGGCATTTGCAGGGAAATGGATGGAGCTAGAAGGAATCATGTTGAGCGAGGTAAGCCAAGAACGAAGAGACAAACGGTACATGGTCTCCCTGATAAGTGGATGCTAAATCCAAAAGGTAAGGTGATACGATAAAACTAACAGGACTTAAGAAACAAAGAACTCCCGCTCATCTGGTTGAACCACTACTAAATATCCCCATGCTGCTGATCACAAACATGGTATATAACATGTGAACACTGTTATATATTACAGACTGTGGTAGACAATTTGCTCCAGGGAAGTTAGCATGAACTTGTGACTTTGAAATTATGTAGTCATTTAATCACAATCAAAAAAAAAAAAAAAAAAAGAACCTCGGGGAAGGGAGGGAGGGAGGGGATGGTAGGGGGAAAACAATGGAGGGGGTAACAATGTTCAAGAGGAAGTGTACTCATAACCTCACTCATGTAACTGTAACCCTCTGTATAGTAGCTTTACAATAAAAAAAAAAAAAGAAACAGCCTCATGCAATCCAAAAATTCATATGGAACAATAAAAGACCCCGAATAGCAAAAACGCTCCTCAACGGCAAGAACACTGCTGGAGGAATATCAGTACCAAATTTCAAACTCTACTATAAAGCCATAGTAATCAAAACAGCTTGGTATTGGCATAAGAACAGACCTCAGGACCAATGGAATAGAATTGAAAACCCAGAAATGAACCTACAGACCTATAGCCATCTAATCTTCGATAAGGGAGCTAAAACAATAGAATGGAAGACAGACAGCCTCTTCAGTAAATGGTGCTGGCAAAACTGGTTAACTACATGTAGAAAACTAAAGCTAGATCCTTATATATCACCCTGCACCAGAATCAACTCCAAATGGATCAAAGACCTTGAACTCAAAGCAGACACTCTGAAAACACTACAGGATGGAATAGGAGAAACCCTGGGTCTCCTCGGCTCAGGCCGAAATTTTCTGAATAGAGACCCAGAAACACAACAAATCAAAGAAAGGTTGGACAAATGGGATTGTATAAGGTTGCAGAGCTTCTGCAGGGCAAATGACATAGCTAGCAAGATCAATAGAAAGCCCACGGATTGGGAGAAGATCTTTACTAGCCATACAACGGACAAGGGTCTCATATCTAAAATATACTTGGAACTCAAAAAATTAAACCACCCAACAACAAATCCTCAAAGAAACAACTGCCCAATAAGTAAGTGGGCGAAAGACTTAAAGAGAAGCTTCTCTGAAGAAGAAAGAAGGATGGCCAATAGACACATGAAGAAATGTTCAACATCCCTAGCCATAAAAGAAATGCAAATCAAAACAACATTGAGATATCACCTCACTCCAGTTAGAACAGCAAAAATCAAGAACTCTAACAACAACAGATGCTGGAGGGGATGTGGACAGAAAGGAACCTTACTTCATTGTTGGTGGGAATGTAAACTTGTTCAACCACTTTGGAAAGCAGTATGGAGGTTCCTCAAAAGACTCCACATAGAGCTCCCCAATGACCCAGCAATCCCACTTTTGGGCATTTACCCAAATGATCACAAACAAGGCCACACTAAAGCTACCAGCACAACTATGTTTATTGCAGCATTATTTACCATAGCTAAGATATGGAACCAACCCAGATGCCCCTCAGTAGATGAATGGATCAAGAAGATGTGGTATATATACACAATGGAATTCTATGCCTCCATCAGAAAGAATGACATTGCCCCATTTGTTAGGAAATGGAAAGGCTTGGAAAAAATTATATTAAGTGAAGTAAGCCAGGCCCAAAGAAACATAGGTCCCATGGTTTCCCTTATTTGCAATATCTAGTATAGGTATGAGTCAAGCGGAAAAAGTCAGAGAATGTGATGTTAGGAAAACGAACCCTCAAATATGTATTTTAATGTTTTTGTTTCTTTCATGCATGTGTTTCTAACGCATTTATAATATTATTTCTTTGTTGCTTTGTATGTCCCTCCCCCACAGTGTAACCCCCGCTTTCACTATATTTGATGTTGGTATAACATGTGGAGGAGACAGGGACAAACAAGTCGTTTAAGGATTCAGGTGGACCTGTTGCAACAATGAGAAGTACAAAATGTCATGTCAAAACCAGCTTTACAATGTCGGTGGGGGGGGGGAGGGGGGGTATGATTGGGTGGGGGAGAGGGGGAGGCTGGGAAGGGAGGTGAAGGGTAAACAAAGGAGGAGGCTGCAATGCTTGGTAAGAAATGTATGCATTTTCCTGCCCATGTAATTGTAACTCCTCTGTACAGTATGTTCTCAAATAAAATAAAATAAAATTAAAAAAAAAAAAAAAAAAAGAAACAGCCTCATACCCAGAAAGGCCCGCAACTCACACAAAAGTAGAAAACCAAAGCAAGAGAGGAGGATCTCACCAGGCAGGGCCCAGAACACACTGTGGAAAAGGAGACAACACACTTTTTAACAGGCCACATTTATTGGGGAAGAAGGAAATCCGTATCAGACGTATTAAATCCTGAGAGGGGCTGACGGCCATTTGCAGCAGAGAGGGACCAAGGTGAGGAAGGAGGCGGCGATGCTGTCAGGACCACGAACGGAGCCAGTGCCATTAGCCGTCAAAGGCCGCCTCACACTGCCAGCGTGAGTCAGTCAGCCCAAGGAGGGCCTGCACGGAGGGAGCCTGGGAAACACCGAGCAAAGGCGGGCTGTCCGCAGAGGAGAGGGACGCCACCGCGCTGGGAGCCCAGCCCGTGTGGCCTGTGCATCACTGGGGAAACACGGTGACCACGTCGTAGCCCTCAGGGGGGGTGACCCGCTCCCGGGCGTGCTTCTCACAGTAGATCTGATCCTCTACGAAGAAATGGCCCTTCTGCTTCAGGTTGGTGCCACAGTCGGCGCACACGTAACACTCAGGGTGGCGATGACGTTCTCGAAGCTTCACAAACACCCCGCTACAGCAAGAAGAGGCCTGGGTCAGTGACCTGAGCACCAGGGCGGCACCTGGCTCCGCACTGGTCTCCTGGAGCTGGGAGCAGAGCTTCTCCACAAAGGCCCGGGAAAGCAAAGCCCAGGCCTCCCTGAGGAGCCTCCCGCGGGGATGTAAAGAAGCCCCGCCCCCGAAATGCTGGGAGCCCCGCCCACTTCCTGCTTTGACAAGTTCACAATGTAAAGGGTTTATTTAGCTCCTTCACATCCAAGCTGCCCACATCTTTCCCAGACAGCCCACCTGCAGGGCTGCCAAGACCCCGAAAGCAGATACTCACACAATGCCAGTGCCACATTTGTCACACATGGGCAGCTTCTGAGCATTTCCAATCGAGGCAGCCACTTTGGTGACTGGAGCCTTCACACTTCTAAATCCCGAGGGCTTGTTGGGGTCCCCTGAAACAAGAAAAACACTTACATTGGCCAGGAAGTACATTAGTGCCTGAGTATCACTTATTCACTCACACAGAGCCACACATACACATCTATGCCCAAGTAGGTCAGAGACACTGGAGTCCAACAGATGTGACCCTACTATGTGCTAGTGAGCAAGTTACTTAACCTTTCTGATCTCCCAGCCTTTTCTATAAATCATGAAATCATTTTTCCCTCCATTGTTTCACACACACAAAAAAAAAAAGATTAAAACATACATAAAAAGCCTCCCTACAGTACCTGACACACATTCAACCCTCAGGACAAAAATTATATTACATTCTTATTAGATACATACAAACATTGATGTGCAACTTACAATGCTTTACACCAGGGGGCTGGAGGTGTGGCTCAAGTGGTAGAGCATGAGCCGCCAAGCAACCAGACCCTGAGTTCAAACCCTAGTACCATCCCCTCCAAAATATGTATGTGTATATATACATATGTATGCCTTATGCCGATTCATAAATAATTAAATAAAAATAATATCTGAGCCAGGTGGCAGTGACTCGTCTATAATCCTAGCCACTCAGAAGGCTGAAGTTCAAATCCAGTCCCAGGAGATAAATCTGAGTGACTAATTCCCATTAACAAAAAAAAAAAAAGCAAAAAGCTAGAAGTACAGATGTGATTCAAGTGATAGAGCACTAGCCTTAAGCTAAAAGGCCAAGATATTTCTGGTAGTTAATTAGAGATAAGAGTCCCACAGACTTCTGCTCAGGGTGGCTTCCAACCTCCATCCTCAGATCTTAGCCTCCTGAGTAGCTAGCATTACAGGCATGAGGGGCTGGAGACTGCTGACTATTGTTTTTTTTTAATGCCCTCCTTGTTAGGTTTTTAAAAGAGGTAGCCGGGTAAGAACTGCACTGCACGTGGTATTCAGGTAAGGGGTAGGTTTATTCAGTAGACCTGCTGGGACCAGGCAAGGTTGGTACTCCACGCGGCTGGCAAAAGGAAAGAGGGGCGTCTGGCCCCAGATTAGGCCTTATATAGGGTAGGGGGCGGGGAAGGGTATGTCCAGGTAAAGGGAAGTGGGATCAGGTGGGAGAAAGGTGTGGCCACATCAGGTTAAGATGTGACCTCAACGGATGCGGATGTGACCTCTTCCAGGTGTCCCAGTTGCCTAGGTAACGCAGGTACTGGGCGAGGTCTGTTCGCCGTACAGGAATGGACCTTACACTCCTAAATTTTGCACCCAAGGCAAATGTACTGCAATCTTGGCGCTGCCTAGGGGGAAGAGGGCTCAAACCTCCCGTCTCAAGCATCCCTGGCTGATAGCACTTGGATGTCTACCCCACATGACAACAAAGAACAGCAGCAGCTCTGCACATCTGCACAGCATGGAAAGAAAGGCAAACTAACTTCTGAAGGGACCAGCTGGGCAAGATCAGGGTCTCATCCAGGAAAGAGTGCCTTTTTCACATAACTCCATCAGCAGAAAAATCACCAGGAAAAAAAAAAAAAAAAGGCGGGCGTCACAAAGGGGTGGAAGAGAAACCAAAGAAAGACATAAATCCACACTGGGTAGAAGAATCCACTTCTCTTCCTGTGATGAACAGACCTGGACTGATAGAACAGCTCTGCAGCAGCAGCAGAGCAGGCTGTGAGCTAAATGAGGCAGCCCGCACTGTGGGTTGTTCAGTCCCACATCGCCACCTGCTGGCACAAAGTTATCTTCTCTCACTTATCCAGCCAACATGGGAAATTCTATTTCTAACTACCTTACTATTGGATTTATTTTACTTTTTCTTTTTTTACACTATTGCACTCACTGAAATTCTTTTATTTTTTTCACTGAAAATTTAACTCAAGTACGTGTTAAGAGACATGGAAGAAACTACTATTTTAGCAAAACTCTTCATTTTTATTTTAGGTAAAAAGACATCTAGGGCTAGGCATACTCACCAACACCTGTAGCTTCACCTACATAGGAGGCAGAAATAGAAGGATTGTGGTTCAAGGATGGCTGTGACAGAAAAATGAGATCTAACCTAAAAAGGGCTAGATGTGGCTTATGTGTTAAGAGTGCTTATGCTTGCCTAATATGTATGAGGCTCTGAGTTCACACTGTAACACTATTTTTAATATGTTTTTATTGTAAAAATACTGTACAGAGGGGTTACAGTTACATGAGTAAGGTAATGAGTACATTTCCTACCGAGCATTGTTACCTCCTCCTTTGTTTTTCCCCTACCATCCCTTCCTTTCCCACCTCCCCAACTCCTCCCCCGACCCCCTACCTGAAGTTGTAAAGTTTGTTTTCAGCATAGTGTCTTGTACATCTCATTGTTTCAATGGGTCAACCTGTGTCCTTATTTCAGCATTTTTTTATTTCCCTTCCTCTCCCCAAATTAGAAGAATGTATATACAACAAGCAGGATACTGGAATCAAATACAGTGGAAACAGGGGTTATACTGTGGGGGAGGAACATACAAAAGAAACAAACAAAAAAAAAAAAGCAAAAGCACATAGTACATTTTAAATACCTTTAAAACAACAGCAAGAAGGAAAAAACAAGTTGTGTCCCTATCTTGGGGTTCATTTTGTTTAACACCTCTTATATGGTCATATGTTCATAGCTAGAGCTCCCCTATGACCCAGCAATCTCACTTTGGGACATTTACCCAAACGATCACAAACAAGGCTATACTAAAGCTACCAGCACAACTATGCTTATTGCAGCATTATTTACCATAGCTAAAATATAGAACCAACCCCAATACCCCTCAGATGAATGGATCAAGAAAATGTGATATATGTGTGTGTGTGTGTGTAACATACATATATATATATATAATGGAATTCTATGCCTCCATCAGAAAGAATAACATCACTCCACTTGTTAGGAAATGGAAAAACTTGGAAAAAAATTATATTATGTGAAGTAAGCCAGACTCAAAGAAACATAGATCCCATGGTTTCCCTTATCTACAGTAAGTAGATAAGGACAAGCAGAAAAAGTCAAAAGCTATGTACACATGACCATATAAGATGATTCTAAGCTGGGTGCTGGTGACTCACGCCTGTAATCCTAGCTACTCAGGAGGCTGAGATCTGAGGATCACGGTTCAAAGCCAGCCTAGACAAGAAAATCTCTGAGACTTTTATCTCCAATAAACCACTAGAAAATCAGAAGTGGCGCTGTGGCTAAAGTAGTAGAAATAGCCTTGAGCTGCAGAGCTGAGAGACAGCACCCAGGCCCAGAGTTCAAGCCCCAGGACTGGCCTCCATGACCGACAAAAAAAAAAAAAAAAAAAGATGATGCTAAGTGAAATAAACCCCAAGATAGGGACATAAGAGGTTTGAGCTTTCTTAATAATTTTTGTTTTTTAATGTACTTATAAATGTACTACGTGATTTTGTTGTTTCTTTTGTATGTTCTGTCCCTATGGTAAAACCCCTGTTTCTACTGTATTTGATTCCCTGTATCTTGTATATATATTTTTCTAATAAGGGAAATAAAAAAATGCTGAAATAAGGATACAGGTTGACCCATTGTAAAGATGAGATGTTGAAAACAAACTTTACAATTTTGGGGGGAGGGAGGAGTTGGGGAAGGAAGGGATGGTAGGGAAAAAACAAAGGAGGAGGGCTAAGAAGGTGGCTCAGTGGTAGAGCACTTGCCTTGCATGCATGAGGCCCAGGGTTCGATTCCCCAGCACCACATAAGCCAAAAGAAAAAGAGCCGGAAGTGACGCTGTGGCCCAAGAGGTAAAGCGCTAGCCTTGAGCTGAAGAGCTGAGGGACAGCGCCCAGGCCCAGAGTTCAAGCTCCATGACCGGACCCAACAACAACAACAAAGGAGGGGATAACAATGCTCCATAGGAATTCTGTACTCATCATCTTACTCATGTAACTGTAACCCCTTTGAATAGTATCTTTACAATAAAAAATATATTAATAAAAATAAAAGACAGCATTAGGAAACCCTGCTTTGGGCTGGGAATGTGGCTTAGTAGTAGAGTGTTTGCCTAGCATGCATGAGGTCCTGGGTTCAATTTCTAGGTAGCATATAATACAAAAGAAAATTAATTTAAAAAGAAAACTCAATTTTGAGAGGAGGCAGGCCAATGTCTTCATTTTTACCTCATTCTAACCTCTAGAATTATTCTTCAAGGACAATTGAAGTTCATTTCAGCAACCAACCCAAGACAGTAGAGTTTGTCCTTGAATTAACTCAAGTGCAGAGCTATAAGTGCTCATACCAGAGGCCACAGAACTCAGAACTAGTCCTGGGGAGGACTTGCCAGCCTGGGCTCAGGCTCTTCACTTGGCCCCCTCACACTTGAGTTTCCAATCAGGCCACTTGGGTATTTTTTACGGTAGATTTCCTGCAGGACTTTAATGAAATACTATTGAGGTCAGATTTGGGAAGGCTGTTTGGCATAAAATTACTTCCCCACAGAAAGAGATGCTAAAGTCTTGTTTCTTATGATACATGCTGGTAGCTGTTAAGAGAAAAGTTAAAGTTCCCACTGCTTTTTCTAGTGAGAAATGGGAAAGTCTTGTGTTCCAGACAATGAGGGCTCTGTTCAATAGGAGGAGGAGGCTCTCCTGCTGGCAGCTTGCTGGTCCACTGCAGAGAACACAAAGGGGGCTGTGTCCATGGTCACTTGTAGCGCTCATTCAACTCATTATTACTTCAGTCCTGCCTGTTCAATGCTTTTGAACCTTGTTGTTTGTTTTTACATTTCTCCTTTCTTATCTAATTCAACCCCTAAGATACAAATATACATATTTAGTAATAGCAGCTTTCAAAAGCAACTAATGGGAAAAATGAAGAATTCAAAGAAGAGATATGCCAGAGACATATGGAACCAACCCCAATGCCCTTCAGGAGATGAATGGATCAAGAAAATGTGATATATATATATATATATATATATATGTATATATACATATACATATATATTGGAATTCTATGCCTCCATCAGAAAGAATAACATCACCCCATTGTTAGGAAATGGAAAAACTTGGAAAAAATTATATTAAGTAAGCTAGACTCAAAGAAACATAGGTCCCATGGTTTCCCTTATTTGTAATCACTAGCATAAGTCTAGGACATGTAATACTATTTTTTGAAAGGCATCAAGCATAAAAGAAAAGCAGGCAGCTGGCTTCACTAGGTGGCTGATCCATTCCACCTGCCACACATCACTGGTGGCCCCCACCCACTCCTGCCCATTTGCCATCACGGAAACATGGTATATGGGCTCAGACCAAACAAAGGACCAAGACATCGACCGATAGAATCCCCAAGTCATGTTTACTCCAACCTCAGCTTCCTGATGCATGTGTGGCAGGAAGCCCGCAGCCAGTACAGAGCTTCCTAAGTAAAATTAGGTCGGCCAAGAGGGGGCGCTCTCACACTTTTTGGGGGGTGGTATTACTGGGATTGAACGCAGGACTTTAGGTATATAGACAAGCACTCTACCTGTGAGCCATATCCCCGGCCTCCCTTGCTCTCTCTTTTAAATGACCTTCCAGCTTTTTAAAAAGTCCATGCCAAACTGGGTGCCAGCAGCTCATACCTGTAATTCTAGCTACTCAGGAGGCTGACATGTAAAGATGGTGGTTCAAAGCCAGCCCAGGCAAAAGAGGCTGTGAGTTTTATCTCCAATTAAATACACACACACACACACACACACACACACACACACGGCCTACGCCTTAAGTTCAAGTAACAGAATGGGCACTCCCACCCCACCCCACCCCCAAATAATCCATGCCAAATGTGCATCCCTATAACCTCAGCCATTTGAGACAGAAGGATAGTGAATTATTTGAGATCAGCCTGGCCAACTTAGCAAGATTATGTCTCAAGTGGAAAAGAAAACAGCCACACATTCAGAACACAGCATGCTTCTTCCACCTACTCTGGGCTTCGGCACTGACTAACCTTCACTCCTGACCCTGACTCAGAACCCGTGGCTGCTGCAGAAAGGGACGATTACCTTTTTCATCTGACTCCAAGATTTCCTGCAGAACCAGGAACGAAGTGGACTGCTTTGGGGGCTCATTCAACTTCTGCTTCTCCTGCAGCATCTTGTAAACCTCAGATTCCTTGTCGATGATTAGGCCCCCTGACGCCTGAGCGTGGTCCACGCTGTGGAACGGTCAAGTTCATGAACATGTATGAGATGTGAACAAGCATCACCAGGCCCGCCCCTCCGGCAAGCACAGCCACGACGACAACCAAAACTGTAGAAGACTCTTTCCAAATGGTTTCAGGAATTCAACTACTTTTTAGCTTAATCCCACAGAAAAGGAATGTGCACTTCATTTTAAGTTACAGAAAACAGAAGGAAACTTCATAGAGGGGAAATGTGGACCACAACCTGACCACTGAAACTCAGCTGAGGCCCTGTGTCCTGGCCACAGGCATTCCTTGGACAAGAAGAAACCATGGTGCTCTTCGTTCCTGTCCCCACTCATTGCTGCCGGGCTCCTGGCATAGCATAGAGGGAACAGTACCTGCCCAGCCTCTTATGGCTCACAGGTGTGGTGGCAAGAATAGAATGCTCATGTGCTTTGCCATCCATAAACGTTCAGGCCCAGGGAACAGGCAAGCTAGGCCTGGCCTCCACACCTTCCTTCTGCCACTCCGTGTGCCCCAGAGCAGGTCAGGCAGGCTCTACTGTGTGGCTTGGGGCTCAGTTTTCCAGAAGGTGAAGGCCTGCACTGCCTGGCCTGGGATGGAGATGCAAGGGAGGCAGGCTCTCGTGCGTGGTACCTGTGCTCCACCCTGAATCCAGCCCCCTTCTTCTCACCCCCGGCTCCTGGATATCCAAGCTACAGCACTGCTGGCTAGCAGGGCTGGACAGCTGTGTACACCCTATCTGTCGCCATTCATAACTGCAGGACAGTCTTTTTTTTGGTGTGCTGGGACTTGAAATCAAGGCCTGGGGTGTTGTCCTTAGCTTTTTTGCTCAAGACTGGTGCACTTCCACTGGAGTCACAACTGTACTTCTGGCTTTTTGGTGGTTGATTCAAGATAAGAGTATAAGATTTTCCTGCCCAGGCAAGCTTTGAACTGGAATTTTCAGATCTCAGCCTCCTGAGTCACTAGGATTGCAAGCACAAGTCACAGGAACCTAGCAGGTAGTCTTTTGTGTGTGGGTGTGCCAGTCCTGGGGCTTGAACTTAAGGTCTGGGTGCTAGTGCCTGGGCTGTGTTTGTGGGGTTTTTTTTGTTCAAGGCTAGCACTCTACCACTTGAATCACAGCTCCACTTCTGGCTTTTTCTGGTAGTTAATTGGAGATAAGAGTCTCACAGATTTACCTGCGTAGGCTGGTTCAAACCATGACCATCAGATCTCAACCTCCTGAGCAGCTTGTATTGCAGGTGTGAGCCAATGTCACCTAACAGGATAGGCTTTTTTTTTTGGGGGGGGGGGGGTGCAGTCCTAGGGCTTGAAATCAGGGCCTGGGTGCTGTTCCTGAGTTCAAGCCCCAGTATCAGAACAAAACAAAACAAAAGAAGCCAGGCACCAGTGGCTCATGCCTGTAACCCTAGCTAATCAGGAGACTGAAATGTAAGGATTATGGTTCAAAGCCAGCCTGTGCAGGAAAATCCATAAGACTCTTATTTCCAATTAACCACCAGAAAACCGGAAGTGATGCTGTGGCTCAAAGTGGCAGCATGCTACCCTTGAGCAAAAGAGCTCAGGGACAGTGCTCTGGTTCAACACTTTGTAACATCCAAAATAAACATGCAGGTGGTTAATTATTACAGCACCATATGGTTTAAATGTAGAGCAGAACAGTCTGTTTTTATAATTTTTCAAACTTGAGTCATCACTTCCCTCGTTTGCCTGCATCCCTCTGTTCCTTCCCCCACTCATTTCAAATTTCCCACTGCCTGCATTACACATGTACATTGAGAATCCCTGCTGTATTGGTTTCCCTTTCCATTTTTTATTCAGCTACTCTCCTTCCACTATCCACTTCCTTGAAAGCTAGCTGCCTTTTAACTTCCTGATAATCATTTTGTTCGGCTGACTGCTCATTGTTTGAAAGGTTTGCTTCCTGTATATGCTATGCTTCCCCCTCCTTTTATTAAAATGGCCAGAGTTGACTTTTGGCCCGGCTGAGAGAGCCCCTGTCTTAGGCTATATGAGGGGCCTCCTGCTTCTGGCAACGTGCCATGTTGCGCCGGTCTGGACGACCTCTGTACGTTGTGCCTCCAGCGCAGGCCCCATACTAATCCCGTCATTGAGTACTCTCTAGCTAGCCCGGAGGGGAGGTCGGGACCGTGAGGCGCCGAACCTGAGCCCTTGTTCTGCCTCAACAGCCTGTTCTTGGGTTTCTAATCGATGGTAATGTACTGAAACGGTTTTGGTAAGGGTCGAATCGATCTGGCTTTTAATAAACTGAGTTAGCCGTTGAAAAGCCCAAGGACCAAAAGCTAGGAAGAGGAAGAGGGTAATTAAGGGGACGAGGAAAGGGAGTAACGTGGACAGCAGAGGGTTGTGACTGACCCAGCCCCCAACTCCGGAGTTCCAGTTCCAACTGGAGAGGTTAAGTTGTCTTTGTTTTAGGCGTTTTTGTAACTTTTCCATGGAGTCCCTTACCACCCCAATGTGATCTGCATAAAAGCAGCATTCTTCTTTTAAGGCGGCACATAAGCCTCCTTCCTTTAGAAACAATAAATCCAAACCTCTTCTGTTTTGTAGCACCACCTCCGAAAGTGAGGATAGGGATTTCTCTAAGGTGGAGATGGACCTTGTTATGGTTTCGAGGTCATCGGTCACGGCTGCATGTAATTGTAAAAATTCCTTATTTTGTATTAGGGCAGTAGCCCCTGTACCTATTCCAGCAGCTATGCCGCCAACACCAAGCAAAAGGGCTAAGGTTAAGGATATAGGCTCCCGAGGATACCTGAGCTTTTGTTCAAATAATTGAAGGAATGTACGTTCCTCATAATAAGTGACCCGAGGCCATAGTTGGATTAGCACACAAAATTCGGAAGAGTGGTTAAACACCTCAATGGCCACACAAGGCGTTAACCCCGTGTTGCAGGCCCAATAAGACCCATTGGGGGGCAATAGATAACCACTCGATCCTAAGGTTGAAATAGTTTTGTTGCACAGGTGTCGGTGGGTGGCTGGAACTTTACCCAGGCAAAGACCCACTCCGGAAACCTCAGCGAGTGTCAATTTATGGGATTAAGTCTGACACCTGGTATCGGGGTTGGAAATGTTAGTAAAATTGTCATTAAATGCAATTCCCTCATAATAGGGAGGATTGGAAGCAAGACAAAGCCAACAATTTTGGGTTCTGTTGGCATCTGAGGCATTTAGGGCTGTATAAGCCCCCAGTATTAAGTTAAAAAGTCTATCTTTTATACGGGGCTGGTCAGTGGCTGGGGTTGGCAACGCTGGGGTTGGTAAAGGGGAGGGTAAGGATGACCTTGTATTAGGCGGTCTTGGGGTTTTAGCATTGGCTCTTAAAGTTTTTGGGTCTTGTTGATTAGCGATAACTAAATTTGGCCCAATAGCTGTGGAAAGGGGTTCCATTTGTAGCCGAATGGTAAAAGTTGTGGCTGGGTCATACCCAGTTCGGTACAGGCGAAGTCCCCAAGAGAGGCCTTGTATCCACTTAGTTAAGTCAATTGACTTTGCCTGTTGTGTGAAGCTGATTTTTAGCCCGTTACACCGGCCACCTGGTGTTGCCCAATATCGGCCGGGCCATATTTTGGAGTCATAGCAAGGCCCACAAGCCCCATGATTGGCGCAAGTGCCAGTTCCCTGCATGCTTCTATTCCAGGCCTCGACCTTTATAAGGTCCTTAACGGGAGGGGACCACCCAACTGATCCAGTGTGATCCAGTGCTTTCACATCCCCAGGCAGCGCAATAACCATCCCCTGGTCCGCCACATTTTTTAAGTTGGGATTTGGATCGACTATGGCCAGGGCAGACATAAAATTGTTGGTTTCTAGTACTATGTCTTTGTCCTGGGCTAGCACAACCATACCCAGGGAAAGGCTCCTGATCGGAAGGGTCCCAATCTCCCCCTATAATATCACAAAGATCTACAAACAAGTTTGGAAACCAGGCTCCTGGTGGGTAAAGAGTAGAAGAGGTGGCGTTAGCGACTTCTCCAGTGTTAGGGTTTACAATTGACCATGTCTGTTTCACAGGCACAGGGGGGCTAGTCTTGGCAACAGCTGGCATCAGCACGGTCCAGAAGATGAGACAGGCAGGCAAAGGGGAGGTCATCTTTTATAGTAGGATCTGAAAAGAAAGAAAAATTTTGTCTCAGGTTGTAGGACTGGACCTACTTAGCATTAATTTTATTGGCATTATTGTCTGAATCATTAAGGTTGGTATATGGTTTAACTAATCTTTCGGGTAGCCATCTGGCTCCATTTTCCCTGGAATCATAGATGCATGCAGACCCTTTTCCCCAAATAATAATTGGGTCAGGCCCCTTCCATTTTCCCGTAATGGGATCCTTCCAAAGAGCCTGGGCAAACCCTTGTTGGGTTTTTGGGTGCCAATGTCTTTCAGCAGCAGATCTCCCAAAGGCAACTAGTGTCAAGAAATTTAAAACAAAAAGAGCATGAGAAAGTAAGGCCTTTTGATTTCCTTTAAAAGGAAACAAAGTTTCTTGTGAGCGTAGTTTATGTAAGGTGTTTTTAAGCGTTTGATTGGCTCTTTCCACAATGCCTTGGCCTTGTGGGTTATAAGGTATCCCTGTAACATGTTCAATTCCTAATTGCAAGCAAAATTGTTTAAATTTATTACTGGTGTACCCCGGGCCATTATCGGTTTTTACGCTCTTTGGCTGGCCCAATACTGCAAATGTATATAACATATGATTAATAACATCTTTGGTGGCTTCCCCACTATGGGCGGAGGCACAAATAAACCCACTAAAGGTGTCTATAGTAACATGTATAAATTTTAGGTTACCAAAAGAGGGAACATGGGTAACATCCATTTGCCATAGTTGTCCAGGCGTGAGCCCCCTAGGATTTACTCCATAATGGGGTTCAGGTAAAAGCATTAGGCAGTTTTTACAGCTTTTTACAATTTCTCTAGCCTGATCTCTGGTAATTAGGAACCTTTGTCTCAAAGTCTGAGCATTAAGATGATGAAGGCATGAGCCTCACGTGCAGCTGTTACCTGGCTAGATTCTAGATGAGAAATTAAAACATAATGTGTGGCCAAATCGGCGAGTTCATTTCCTTGAGCTAGAGGTCCTGGCAAACCGGTGTGAGCACGAATGTGGCCCACATAGAAGGGTGTTGACCTCTGTCGAATCAGCTTTTGTAAATCAGAAAACATTTGAAAAGTAGGAGTAGTAGGTTGAATTATGGGAACCATCTCCAAGGTTTGTAAAGCCCCAACCACATACTTGCTATCTGAATATAAATTAAAAGGGCTATCTTTATATTTATTAAAAACGGTAACAGCAGCAAACAATTCTACTAGCTGTGCTGATTTAAAGCAGGTCTCTATAACATGTTGTTGTTTGTTAAGAACATAAGCAGCTCTGCCATTTTTTGACCCATCAATAAAAATGGTAGGGGCAGTTGGAATGGGGTTTTCCTGGGTGTTTTTAAGAAATACAAAGGGGGTGAGGGAGAAAAACTGAAGAAGTTTATTACTTAGCATCTGTGTATCAAATTCTCCGGAATAGGAGCAAATAAGAACAGCCCAATCAGGGTCACGGGTACACAACCATTTGATTAGCTCTTTATCATATGGCGTAATAACAAAATTAGGGTCTTTCCCAAAATAGCGTGTGGAAATATTTATCCCTCTCATAATTATTTGGCAAACCAGGGAAGGATAGGTGGGAAGAATTTTTCTTTTAGCTACGGGGAGGTGTACCCAAAGTAAGGGCACCGGCTCCTGCCAAAGTAGGCCGGTAGGCGCAAACTCTGTGGAAAAGATGACTAGATATAGGGGCGCACCTGGGTCAAAGTATCCCGTGTGTTGTTGAGCTATGGCTGATTCAACCTTAATTAGTGCTCTCTCTGCCTCCTTAGTAAGATGTCTAGGGGAGAGGGGATCAGGGTCTCCTCTAAGGAGATCCTCAAGGGGGCGCAGGTCTCCTTTTGATAATTTTAAATATGGCCGCAACCAATTAATGTCTTCCAACAGTTTTTGATAATCATTAAGGTATTGAAGAGTGTCTCTCTTAATTTGGATCTTTTGTGTATATAAAAGGTCTGGACATAACTCAAACCCTAGAAATAAAAAGGGATATTGAGCCTGAATTTTATCTGGGGCTATGGAAAATCCTCTGTCTAAAAGGGCTTTAACAATTATTTGAGCAACTCTTTGTGTCTCATCCTCAGTTTTTCCAGCTATCAATAAGTCGTCCATATAATGTATAATATAAACTGAGGGATATTGAATCCTAACTGGGTCAATGGATTGAGCTACATACTTTTGGCATAAGGTGGGCGAATTGGCCATGCCTTGGGGTAATACCTTCCAGTGAAATCGGGGGTTGGGGCCAATATGGTTTACAACGGGTATGGAGAAGGCAAATCGCTTACAATCCATAGGGTGTAAGGGAACAGAAAAAAAAACAATCTTTAATATCTATAACAATTTTAAAATATTTTTTAGGAATGGCTACAGGGGAAGGCAGTCCGGGCTGTAATGCCCCCATGGGAACCATTGTCTTATTTACTTCTCTAAGGTCCTGTAATAATCTCCATTTGCCCGTTTTTTTCTTTATTACAAAAATAGGGGTGTTCCAGGGGGAGGTAGAAGGTTCAAGGTGTCCTTGTTCTAATTGTTCCTGCACCAACTGAAGGGCAGCCTGAACCTTTTCTGAAGGCATGGACCACTGTTCTATCCAAACCGGCTCATCAGACTTCCAAGTTATTTTATCGGCTTGGTGTGCAGGAGGAGCAGTGGTCCTTAGGAAAAAAGGTCCATCCCTAATCCCCCTCTATCTAATTTAGGGATGGGTATGATGGGCTGGGTACCTCCCTGTTCATGTTTTCCCAATCCTTTGCCTGGCAGAAAACCAGTTTTTAACATCATTTGAGTTACTTTATCATTGGGGCTCATCATAATGACCCCCATCTGGGTCATAATGTCTCTTCCCCACAAGTTAACTGGCAGCCCTTCAACCACAAAAGGCCTCACTGTCCCCAAGTTTCCTTCCGGGTCTGTCCACTGAAGAAACTTAGAACTTTGTAAGGTATTTTGAATCTAGCCACTGCCCTTTAGG